CTCCCCAGTGATGAAACGGACGCCATTTTGTGTTGTATTCTTTACCCTGACTCCATCCTGGGGGGTGTCGCCTGATGGATGGTGACTGGGAGGGCTGGGAGGTGGAGTGGAGGAGGGAGAGGAAGGAGGGAGGAGGAGGAGTAGAGGGGAGAGGAGGAGGAGAGGAGAGGAGGAGAGGAGGAGGAGTAGAGTGGGGAGGGGAAGGAGGAGGATGGGGGAGGAGGGAAGAGGAGGAGGAGGAGAGGGAGGAGGAGGATAGGGGAAAGGAGGGAAGAGAGGAGAGGAGAAGGAGAGAGGAGAGATGAGAGGATGGGATGGGAGGGAGAAGAGGGAAGAGGGTGCTGGGAAGAGGTGCGGGAGGAGAGAGAGATACTAGGAATGGTGTTGGGAGAGGGGGCTGGGAGGAAAGAGGGGAGAGGAAGCTGGAGACGTGCTGAGGGAGGTGCGGGAGGAGAGAGAGAGATAAACAGATAGAGAAGAGAGCAAGCGGAAGGGTGGTGGGCTGAGAGAGAAGCCTGGAGGGAGGAGGCAGGGAGGGAGGCAGGGAGAGGGGAGGCAGGGAGGGAGGCAGGGGAGAGGAGGCAGGGGAGGGAGGGCGGGGAGGGAGGCAGGGGAGAGGGAGGGCCGGGGAGAGGGAGAGGGAGAGGAAGCGGAGGGCATGGAGGAGGCAGGAGGGAGGCAGAGGAGGAGGCAGGGGAGGCGGGGAGGGAGGCTGGGGAGAGGGAGGCGGGGAGAGGGGCAGGGAGAGGGAGAGAGCATGGAGGAGGCATGGAGGGAGGCATGGAGAGGGAGGCATGGAGAGGGAGGCATGGAGGCAGGGGAGGGCGGGAGAGGGAGGCATGGAGGGAGGCATGGAGGGGTAGAGTGGAGAAGCAGGAAGGGAGGAGGAGAGTGTTAGAGTAAGACTGGAGGGTGACTGTTGCCTGGGAGGTGAGGGAATGGAGAGAGAGTCGATTGGTGGATAATTATAATCAGCTAGAAACAGAGAGAGAGAGAGAGAGAGAGAGGGAGAGATATGTCTTTCTCTTTCATTTTCCTCTTCCTTCTCTCCCTCTACTGTCATCTCTCTCGCCTCCCTCTCCCCTCTCATCTGTCCCCTTCCATTTCTTCTTCTCCTTTATTCTCTGCTTCACTCTCATAAAAGAAAGCCAGGAATTTAATGTTTAATAAAATGCTACATACCGTCAGAATTTATCGCGGTAACACTTGTATTGCGTAATTACACAGGAATGAATGAATGCTATAACGTACACGAATACATATTTTAATAATAAATTCCATGTAAAGAAATTTTAGAGAGAGATAAGAGACGGAAAGATAACACAAATAAAAGAAGAACATTTATGAAAATACTTAATAAAAATTAGAAGTACCCAAGGTTTTATTAATTCAAAGTTAGCTCTGTCATATGCTCATTGGTAACACTGATTCAGAGTACCGTTCCCATATCTGGTAACACTTTATGACGTATTGCCAACACTCTATCACACATTGATAACAATGTGTGACATTGACAATGCTGCATAACAAATTGGTAGTAGTGTACGACGTTGGCAACACTGAATAATGTAGTGTAATGTAGGGCAGTATTGTTTTACGTATTGGCAACCCTGTTTTGGCACTGACATCACCTTTTTCAGCAATTAAGAAGTCTGTATGATGTATTGCAACACTGTATGGCATTGACAACACTGTGCGTCATTAGCAACACTATTACACTGACAACACTATGGCACTGACAGCATTATGACACTGACAGCATTATGACACACAACAGTATGACACTGACAACAGTATGACACTGACAACATTATGATACTGTCAACACTATGGCTCTGACAACACTATAAGACATACTAATACAGTATATGACATCTTGGTCAAACCATCCTTTGTCAGGCTCCACCTGCCAGGTTAATTAACACAACAGACACACGTGGTGACTCAAAAACAACAGTAGGTGATGATGAACACAACGGTAATGACGATCACTAACGGTAACGGTCACTAACGGTTATAACGGTCACTAACGGTTCTAACGATACTAAGTCCCACTAACGGTTATAACAGTAATGGCAATCAGTAACGATCACAGCAGCTCCTCTATCACCTCTGTAATTTGGTAATCTCTAACGAGTGTATACGTAGTTTAAATCAACAAAAACCTCGACTTAGGGGCGGTATTCAAGGGGCAGTCTCATGTGAGGTGCTCTTCAATCAATGATCTCAGGTGTGAGGTGTAGGTTAATTCTGGTTACCTGTGCTTAATTGTTATACATATTGTTCAGCATCATCAATCAATAATTAACCTCATTAAACCCTTTATCAACCTCATCAATCAATAATGACCTCATTATCCCTTCATCAACTTCATCAACCAGTCATTAACCTCAACAACTCTTCATTAACTCAACATTAACTTCATTAACCAATAATTAACCTCATTAAACATTCATCAACTCATCATTTACCCTTCATCAATCCTATACTAAAACCATTCTGTGTTATAGCTCTCAGATATACTTCAGCTCTCAGATATACTTCAGCTCTCAGATATACTTCAGCTCTCAAATATATTTCAGCTCTCAGATATACTTCAGCTCTCAGATATACTTCAGCTCTCAGATATACTTCAGCTCTCAGATATACTTCAGCTCTCAGATATACTTCAGCTCTCAGATATACTTCAGCTCTCAGATATACTTCAACTCTCAGATATACTTCAACTCTCAGATATACTTCAGCTCTCAGATATACTTCAGCTCTCAGATATACTTCAGCTCTCAGATATACTTCAACTCTCAGATATACTTTAGCTCTCAGATATACTTCAGCTCTCAGATATACTTCAGCTCTCAGATATACTTCAGCTCTCAGATATACTTCAGCTCTCAGACATACAGTACTCTAGCTCAAATATATTTTTCACTCAATGGCAGAAACAACACGAAAAGAATATACAAATCAGTACTAGTATATTTCACTCATATAACATACTGATATAAAGAAAAGAAGCTATGATTGTAATCCCAAAAAATTAGAATTTATTCACTGCCAAAAAAATATATATTCATTGGTACCGAAGAAAAAAATATAAAAAATAAATAAAATAATAATGGTTAATATATTTAGTTCACTATTATTAGTATATTATAGTTAGAGAAATATCTTGGTTAATACTTTCCAGCGACAGTAAATATAAAAGTAATATTATATCTTTCCAAAGTATTAAGTGGTATAATGTCTTAATTGGTTATACAAGATGAATGAATCGGATTATACCTTAAGAGTTGTACTTAACTGGTAGGGCACTGAGTCTGAGCACCACACACACACACACACACACACACACACACACACATACATACTGACTGTTTAGGTACGTTGTTTGTATGATCTATGTACAATGTATACCTGTATGGTCTATATACATGCTGAATCAATGTAAATATGTATGGCGATTTTAATCTATCTATCTATCTATCTATCTATCTATCTATCTATCTATCTATCTATCTATCTATCTATCTATCTATCTATCTATCTATCTATCTATCTATCTATCTATCTATCTATCTATCTATCTCTGTCTGTCTGTCTGTCTGTCTGTCTGTCTGTCTGTCTGTCTGTCTGTCTGTCTGTCTGTCTGTCTGTCTGTCTGTCTGTCTGTCTGTCTGTCTGTCTGTCTGTGCGAACGTTGAACCCCTGATGCGACGACCTCTTAAATACCCAAAATATACGAGACCGAACACCTTGTCACCACATCATAAAGCAACGAGCTAAAGAAGTGAAAAATAGTCGTAAATATATGATAATGTGATCAAAATATGTAGTGCTGATCGATACAATAAGAGAAATTAACGTTCACAGGTTTATTTTTTCAGTATTGGTTTTTAAGTTTGTAATTAAATTGATTAAAAAAAAGGCATAAAAATAGTATAATTAATTCGTATGTCTATAGATTTTTTTTGTGTGTAATAGTTTCTCAATGCTCTACAACATAATATTTAGTCTGGTGAGTGTTTCTGAATCACTTGTAGACGAGAGTTGCAACATCATCGTCAACAATAATAAACCATGTATGTATTTTGTCCAACACATATTGAATAAATTTGACTTTCAATATTAGAAAACCATCATTCTTTCACAACAGAGGTACACACAGTTTATGTCGAGACTATTATATCATATTTTTGGGGAGTGGTAGTTTGTTATCAATATGTAATACTCGTGTTGTGGTGGTGTGGTGGAGGTGTGGTGGTGGTGTGGTGGTGGTGGTGTGGTGGCGGTGTTGTGGTGGTGTTGGTGGTGGTGTGGGTAAACAAAGCCGAGAAGAATTATTCAAAGACCCAGTGATGTGTAGGCTTTTTGTTCTGTTAACTTGCAGTGTGACACAAAAACTACTGTCGTTTACAAATATTTCCCGAGTATTTGTAACATGAAAAATGTATTAGTAATCGTTGCGTGCGGTGGGTGTTTCTGGCAGGCGGGTCAGTCTGTTTGTTCTTGTTGGCCGTGTGTTTTGGCTCCTGACCGGGCCACCACAGCCTCCATTGAGTCGTTTTCGGATGTTTGGTCAGAGCCTCGTGTTTATTACTGAGTCCTGCGAGCAGTTATCTAAGGAAGGTATAAGCCCATGAGGTCAGGCGGGAGGCCTCTAAGGTGACCTCGACCCTGTGACCCCCCCCCCCCTTCCTGTGGGCGGGGCGGGGGTTCAAAGGCATGGGCGTGCGTGGTAGTGGCGGGGCGGGGGTTCAAAGGCATGGGCGTGCGTGGTAGTGGCTACACACTACACCCCCATTAATCATCACCAACACCGTCATACAACACCACCACTCCGGCACTCCCGGCGAGGGGGGGAGGGGTGCACCATCAACAGGGGGTCGAAGTCACCGTGTTATCTTGAAGCTCGGCACTGTTGGTTCCGTTGGATAATGGTATTGTGTGTCGGTGGTAGAAGCGCCGCTTGCCGCAGGGAGGAGGGTGGGCCCGCAGGTCCGTTAGTGCCGGGAGTGCCAGGTGTGGGTCGCCGCCGCAGCCACCACACAGATGCGGGCGGCGGCGGGCGCGCTGCGGAAGTCAGGGAGGACTACATACCTCTGGGCAGGCGCCGTGCCACCGACTTCACCCTCATCTTCGGTGCAGCAGCAGCAGCAGGAGGAGGAGCAGCAGGAGGCGCCGAGGGGTAGCGGCGGCGGGTGGCGGGCGGCGGCGGTGGCGGCGGCAGAGGAGCGTGTTGGTGGCGACCCCGGGAGACGAGGCGGCGGCCAGACAGGTACCAGTGTCTCAAGACAGCCGTGCCACTGTGCCATCATGAAACATCATTAGAGCCATCATGCCTCCCACGGGGGGCAGCGCCCCTCCCCGCCGCCTCGCCGACCACTCACCTCCACACATGTCTTTGTAAAGCCACGCGCGACTGGCAGAGGAAGGGGTGGAGCGCCGCCCACGAGGGCGTGGCCTTCCTGGCGCCGCCCACCAAGACGCCGCGATGACAGTCAGGCACCGAACAACAAAATGCTGGGCGGTATCGCAGCCAAGTGGTCGAGGACACCGAGTATTGATCCCTGGCACGCGGGACCACAACCGCGCCCGCTGCTGAGGCTCGTGCTGTGTAGTGGCCAGCCAAGATGGCCCTCTCCCTCACCCACACCTAGAGACACAGTACTCGCTCATCCCAACCATCCTCAAACCCATACTTATAAGATGGCTCTCTCCCTTACCCTCACTCACAACACTTAAAAGATGGCACTGTCTCTCATCACTCGCACACCCACACTTATATGGTGGCCCTCTTTCTCATCTCCATCCCTACCACAAACATAACTAATTAGCACTCTTTCGCCCATCCCCCCCCCCATCCTCGCTCTTATGGTATGGCATCTCGTTCTTTCCCACACTTACAAGAGAGCCTCCCCCTCCTCCTAATAGCCGCTGACAGAATGGCACTCTCCATCATCCTCATAACCTCACACAAAGAAGAACATTTAATTCATCCCCAGAAGCCCCACACTCATATGGCATCCTTCCCTCAACCCCACACTTAAACGGTAACACCCTCTCACCCCCACACGCCATCACTTACAGTACAGTACGACCCTCAACTCCACGCACCCACACTTATAAATTGATCCACTCTCATTCGCACTCACTTCAACATAAATGATGACCCACTCTCTAATCGTCTTGTCCACATTTGTAAGACGAACCATCTCTCATCCACACACTCATCTTTACCCACATTTACAAGATGGATGGCTGTCTTTCATCCTCACACCCACACTTAAAAAATAACTTTTTTATCCCTCCACACTTACATGATGAACACTCTTTACTTATAAACATACTCCACACTTTTATAATGTTACTTTACACCCCATTGAAATAACCCCCTTCACTTAGAGCTTTGTTTCACCCCACACTTAACAGAATGATGACACCCCCCTATACATCATCACCCCCCCACATACTTACAAGGGGAATCTCCCTACACATCACCACCTCCACACTTATGACATCACCGCAGCCACACACTTACAAGATCAACCCACACCACTAGAACACCATTGTCAATAGAACCAACTCCATTGTTAATAGAACCTACATCATTGTTAATAGAACCACCACCATTGTCAAAAGAACCACCACCATTGTTAATAGAACCTACATCATTGTTAATAGAACCTACATCATTGTCAAAAGAACCACCACCATTGTTAATAGAACCTACATCATTGTTAATAGAACCTACATCATTGTTAATAGAACCACCACCATTGTCAAAAGAACCACCACCATTGTTAATAGAACCTACATCATTGTTAATAGAACCAACTCCATTGTCAATAGAACCACCACCATTGTCAAAAGAACCACCACCATTGTTAATAGAACCCAACTACCATTGTCACCATAGAACCATTGTTAATAGAACCAACCATTGTCAAAAGAACCACCACCATTGTTAATAGAACCTCCATCATTGTTAATAGAACCACCACCATTGTCAATAGAACCACCACCATTGTTAATAGAACCTCCATCATTGTTAATAGAACCACCACCATTGTCAAAAGAACCACCACCATTGTTAATAGAACCTCCATCATTGTTAATAGAACCACCACCATTGTCAAAAGAACCACTACCATTGTTAATAGAACCTCCATCATTGTTAATAGAACCACCACCATTGTCAAAAGAACCACCACCATTGTTAATAGAACCACCACCATTGTTAATAGAACCTACATCATTGTTAATAGAACCACCACCATTGTCAATAGAACCACCACCACCATCTTTCACCTCTAGAATCACAACCATTAGGTCAACCTATAATCACCACAACACCCCTTGAGTACAATGACGTAATCTGCTGCGTACAATATCATCGTACTCAAGAGATTAGGTCATCGTTTCAAAAGGTTAAGACACCGTATTGAAGAAATTAAGTCATTGTACTCAGGGATTAATGTATCGTATTTAAGGGTTAATACATAGTACACAACAGGTTATTTAATTCATCGTATTCAAGGGGTTAATTCAACATACTCACGGGGTTAGTTCATCGTACTCAAGGGGTTGATTCATCGTACTCAAAGGGTTAATGCGTTGTATTCGGGGGATTAATCCGTCGTACTCAGGGGAATAATTCGTCGTACTCAAGGGGTCAATAGTGACATTAGTGATCATGAAGGAAGATTATTCGTCTCATTTATGCTTAGTATGTTAAGTAGTTATTATGCAATCAAAGAGTTTCGAAGACAAGTGTGTTTTACTTGGCTGAACGTCCACGGAGCACGGAGGAGCCGGTAAGGTGGCGGACCCTAGCGGCGGGGGTGTGTACTATCTGGTTTGACTTTACTCCAATTTACGCATACTGGAGTCTTTCTTTCTCTGCTTCAGTAACGGTGTGGGGTAATCGTCTCCCAGGTGAGGGGGTTGATTTGACACTTTTTCAGGTTTGTCTTAAGAATATCCTTACGCCTTTTCCGTTGCCCGCCAGCGTTACGTTTACCATTCGTTATGTGACTGTAATGTAGCTGTTTTGGCAGTCTACTGTCGTCCATGTGGGTAATATGGGCAGTCCAGCGTAGTTATTAATGAATAATTGTAGCCTCGATGCTCCTACAGTTGGTGTCAGCAAGAATATTGGCATTTATTCTCTTGTCTTCCCAGCGAACATGGAAGTTGGAGTGTAGGCAACTTTGGTGAAAGTTTTCAAGTGCCCTGAGGTTCCTCCTGTATGTGACCCATGTATCGCTGCCATACAGCAGGGTGGGGAGGACCACTGCTCGAAATACGTGTAACTTCGTAGATAATCTCTTCATCGATGTCCGTGGTGGTGGACAGGAGGTAGCCTAGGTACTGAAAGTTGGTAACATAGAGAGGGTAGTGCTGTTAGCCTGAATGAATGGTGGAGGTGTGGTTTTTTCAGGGGCAGGGTGAATCTGAGTCTTACATACATTCACCTCAAGGTCGAAGTGTGCATATGCATCTGCATAGGTGTTCAGGATCTCCTGTAGGTCGCGTTGAGTGTGAGCGACGAGGGTGAGGTCGTCTGCATACTGCAGTTCAGTGATGGAAGCTGCTGACACCTTTGTTACTGCCTGGAGTCGTCTTATGTTGAAAAATCCCTGCATCCCAGAATGGATGTCCACCCCGGCAGCGAGAATGGCACTAGTACGGAAGGCAGCCAAGAAAATGGAAGAGAGAGTTGGTGCCAGTACACATACTCCTGTACTTGTTTTACCCCCATTTGGATGGTGGAGTTGCCTCACAATGGCAATGAATTGGTGAGCAGCCAAAACGACTGAGGGTACGCCAGAGTGCTTCCTTGTTGACCGAGTCAAAGGCCTTAGCAAGGTCGATGAAGGCCATGTACAAGTCATGACTCTGGTCTCCGCACTTTTCCTGTATCTGGCGGACAGCAAAGATCATGTAAATGGTGCCACGTGATGGTCTAAACTAAAGCTACATTGAGATTCTGGGAGGAAATTTTCCGCCTCAGGAAGAAGCCTGTTTAGGATGACTCGTGCGATAATCTTGCCAGCTACGGACAGCAGTGAGATCCCACGGTAGTTGCCACAGTCTGACTGGTCTACCTTGGTCTTATAAATATTTACGATGGAGACGTCTTTAAGATCTTGGGGATTTCCTCCTCCTCCCATTTATTCACCAGGAGAGAGTGGAGACGGCTGGTAAGCAGAGGTCCTCCTGTTTTATACTTCACGGCTGGGATTCCATCAGGCCCTGTGGCTTTATTATTTTTCGTCTGCTACCTCATTCAAGGAAAGAGGATAACTGAAGTGGTTCAGCTCTGGATGCTGAGGATCCTATTGGGTAGTCAGGACATCCACATCGAGGTTTCGGTTGAGCAACAAATGGTAGTGCTTTTTCCAGTGCTGATAGATGCCTTCTTCGTCTTTAATTTGGGAGTTACCGTCAAATGAGCAGAGAGGGGTCACGCCTTGAGTAATTAAGCCACATATTGTTTTAGTGGAACAGAAAAATTCACGCATCTTGTGTTGAAGTGCAATTTTTTGCGTTTCTCCCACTATATCTTTACACCAATCATTCATTAGTTTGCAAAGTTCGCACTAGACCACTGCTTTCTTCTCGTGGAAGGTATCAGCTTTGGTCCGAGACTGAGGGCTGTTCTGCCACTCAGTGAGAGCAGCACGTTTATTATTGACGAATACTTCGATTTCTGCTTCATTTTCATCAAACCAATCCTGTTTTGTTTTTGTTTTTCATCTGGCCAAGGGTTTCGCTGCAGGTTTTTATGGTGACAGCTTTGAGGGGACTCCATTCGGCATTTGGGTTTAGGTTGTTTGTTGTTGGGTTGTTTATCAGACCATCGTTGAACTGCTCTCTGAAAGCATATGTGCTACCGCTGGATCCTCCAGTCGCTTGGTGTTAAAACCTCTTCTGGGGGCTTGTTGTCTTCGCCATTTTGGTGTGACGTGAAGGAAGAGTTTGGCTCTGACAAACCGATGATCTGTGTCACAGTGGTCTGAGCCATTCACAGGGCTCGGGTGATGAGGACATCTCGGCGAGCTCTTTCTTTGATAACAATGTTGTCAATGAGATGCCAATGTTTGGATCGTGGGTGTTGCCACGAACCCTTGAACTTGTCGGCCTGCCTAAACAAGGTATTGGTGATAGTGAAGTTCTGTGCAGCACACTTGCCGAGGAGGATTAGGCCATTGGGATTACACTTGCCTAGTCCATTTCTCCCTATGATTTCCTGCCAAATGTCAGCATCTCTGCCAACTCTGGCATTGAAGTCACCTAGGAGCCCAACCTTATTTACTCTGAGGATAGAGGTTAGCACTCTGTCAAGGTAGGAATAAAAGGTCTCCTTTATGTTATCCTCTGCATTCAGTGTTGGGGCGTATGCACTGATGAAGAAGGCATGACGTGAGTAATTCAGTGGGACTCGGAGCATCATGAGGCACTTGTTGACCACAGCAGGCATTTCAGTTAGTCTATGAAGGATGGATTGGCGAATGGCAAAGCCAACTCCATAAATGCTGTTTCTCTCCACAGCAAGCTTAACCAAAGAAGGCATAGCCAGATCCCCGTTCTGTGAATCGACCATCGTCTGGGAGCCGGGACTCACTAATGACTGCTATGTCGATGTTATACCTAGACAACTCTTTTGCCACAAGGGCGGTTCTTCATTAAATTCGCTTATTCGTGCCAGTATCCAGAAGAGACATGACATTCCATGCAACTACCATAGGAGGTTATATAAATTGTTTTTGCTTTGATCTATGATTATGCTTTCGACTGCATTAGGTTGACCTTATAGGGTGCAGTTACCCTGTCAGGTTAGTTTTTTAGGCAGGCTATATTTAGGGCACCTTTTCTAGTCCGCTCCCGATGTGAGGTGAACAGAGTGGCTCTTCGAGAGAGCTGCTCAGTCGCTGCTCATTCGCAGTTGCACTGCTGCCTAAATCCCAATGAATAAACGACCATCTTATGTCCGCCGTCCATGTGCAGAGTTATGACTAGAGACTCCCGGCAGTCATCTCTGCCTATCCCCGTCGCCGCTCGTCTGTCACCACAGGACTTTTGGGGGTATAGGATTTTTGGTGGTGATGAAAAGTATGAAGAGCTGCATGATGGCTATGTGTGAGTTGATTTATGTGCTGAGGCAGGAGCACAGGCTGCAACCACACATCTTAGCTCTCCCTTTTCCTGATCCAGTAGTGCAGGTAGCTGCAATGACTAGGTAGAGGGAGAGTTGCAATGGAATACCGATAGCCCAGTTTGTTGGGTTTCGCCTTAGTAGCCTGTCCATCTTGCATTGCCGTCTGCCGGTGTAGTCGTTGGGTTCCCATGGTGGTCACCTCTTCTGCCTGTTCTGCCGTTGGGGTCTTACTGGAGTTTTATAAAACATCTCAGCCTGATGCTGGACTCCACTGCACATTTTTCGTTCAGGGTTTACTCCCGTAGCCTTGTACCTGCCAAGTTTAATCTGCAAGGCAACGGGGCAATGGTTGGTAGGCGCCAGTGTGTGTCCACATGCCGGTAGGCCTATGCGTCGTCCCTCTGGGGCCCACTGCTGTTCCAAGAATCCCTGCTGGTCTAACCTGAGGCTGCGAGGCATCCAGTTACCGTGACAAATAATCACACACACACACACACATTAAACTCTACATTTTATTGTTCACTATGAGAGTCGCACTATTTATATGCTCATTAATCGTCTAGAGTAAGTCGTGTTGTTAACTGGAGAAGTGAAATTTATTGTCCATAATTGTCGTTTAAGTACTAACTATAAACACAGTAGTTTATAAACCCTACAACCCGCCATTACAGCTGTTAACCTCAAAGTAGGGGATCAATATCATGGTCAATATTCTTGTTGTTTTTTACTTGAGTTAAATATAAAACTTTGGGGTTTATTCCTCCCGAAGATTTTATGCCACAGATACCTGACCTGACATGACCTAACCTCCCATAATTTAATCTAATTTTCATCTGACCTAGCCTGATATAATCTAAACCAACATTCGACCACAGATCCTTAATCAGTGTGTCGAGGAGGACCTAAACTGATATTCTGAGCAAGTTCTAATTTATTGGACCCAAAATTATTTTTGGGTCGAAAAATTACTTTTGCTCAAAATTTTAGTATAGGTCCTCCTCGACACGCTAATTAAGGATCTGTGGTCGAAATGTGTCGCATTTTAACCTCCGGGGGACACACACACACAAGCTCACACACACACACCAGATGTCAAGTGCACCCAAATTTTATTGAAGTTATCCCAGTAAAATGCTCTTTTATATAACTTTTAGAGAAAACGTAA